ACGCCACAGATGCTTGTTGGATCTTCCAAAATCCTGAAATTAACAAGGCAACACACATGAGCGAACCGTACCCAATGTTCCCAGTTAATCACTATCCTCACCAAATCCACATGCTCAGATATAATTAAGGCTAGTTCAAACCATGAAGGTTGACTCCCTATATCTTGGAACCCGTTCAGTTTCCCAGAGCGAGCAGCAGAGTCGTACGCACGTTTCCATTAACTCGAATAGTTCCTGAATTCAGTCTTGTAGCGAAAGCCAGACAGATCTCTATCATTCCCCATCCCTCTAAATATACCCTTTTCACGAGTTGGAAAGATAAGGTATAGGAGATGAAGACAAAACCAAGATCGAAGGAAATATGCTCCGAAAGCATTTCTACATCCTAAGCTTGTTGTGGTTACAGTAGCTCCTTGCAACAGTGGATATGACGTCATGCCTGATCCGAAGCTTCTTGTCCTTTCCAACGGTCCAGCGACTCAACAAGTTCAGAGACCGAATAAAAGATAACAACTAATCATACAAAGTTAACAATACCATAATTACACTCCAGATATGTGGATTGATTGATCCGAAGAGGTTTAGAAAGCCGGCTCGAAGAATTCACAGAGAAATTTCAGCCGAAAGTGCCTTTAAACTAGGATCGCTATCTGTCGTCTTTCCTCGCAGGCGATCGTAGACAAACAGATTCGCATTCTCAATCTGCTGACCTTTCTTACACACACATACAGGCATTGAGCACAAATATTCAATTAAATGCTTTTAGGAAAACTCACCATGATAAATGGAAAAAGAGAATAAAGAAGCTTGTCTTTTTAACGGTCAAGTGGCTGCACAATGCAATACGTTCGCTCACTTGAACGGACCATAAAGAAGTGACGTATAAAAATACAGTCCCTATCTACGGCAGTTGGTGTAAGAATATGGCTCAAGTATACTGTGAAGCGGTCAGACAATTTATCTTAAATAGGCGTAGAAAATGTGTCCTAACATGTAAATTGACACTAAAAGCCTAAAAGAATCAATCTAAGAGTGATTTATATGGATTTCTTCTATCTGGACTCCCCCACAACAAACGAACTATATAACTACGGTCGGACCATCCGATATCATAGTTACAATGACAATTTTGGGGATGTTCAGACTGTGGGCCTGCTCAATGAGGTAGGTGTGTGCATTCTGTTATATGACAGTGAATACTGGACAGCTGCAATCCAATTCACCAGCCATGTACTGACCTCCTTCTCCCTCAGTGCAGTCATTAAGATGTCGTATCTCACTCTGTTATAAGCATCCTCGGAGATCCAGTTCTGCTGTCATAGTTTCCTGTCTGTTCTGGAACTCTTCACAAACGTCAGAAGCAAAAGTGGCTGCATTTGCCCATGTGTCCTTTCCTGGCCTGTAGCTTCCCAGACTTCTTGGGAGAAGCTTCCCCCTTTCCAAAAATTCTTGCAGCTTTACAGCAACTACTTCTCCAAGGCCTTCCCAAATGTGTTTTGTAAGGTGATGTTTCTAAAGCCACTGAGCTTTGAAAAAATCTGTAACAGGTTTTGGCAGTTGGATAAGATAGCTGTCAACCAGTCCTGTGGTACTATTGCTGTGTTAATGCTCTGGTTAAAGCAGTCGGTCATCTCCGCCAGGTCTACATCGCTCAAAGCCTTCATGTGGCCATACCTGACCCCTTCAGGCCCTGGTGCAGTGTTTTTTGCCTTTTCAAAATTTGTTTGATATCTTCTACTCGTATCATGTCTTCATAATGCCAATTCGGTATGGTACCAGCTAACTCCTCTCTAATGCATCCCTGATGTCTACATCATTTGTATGATCTGTCTGAGCAATAAACCTATAGAGAAAGGCTTCCCCTTTCTCCTTGTCTGTTGTCACACGCACACCATCGTCTCCACAAATTGTTTCCACTGTCATTCTGTTGTGTCGCTACCCACATAGGACTGCAGGTTACGCCAGGCTGTGGTAATATTTCATTAAACTTTCTGTGGAGGTTGAACGGAGTATGTGGGATCTGCCGTCCAAACTGAAATTTGTGAATGTCAGGATGAAATGTGAGACACTGAGATAGCAGCACCCAGGGGACAAACCAGTCAAAAGTTTACATTCTATAATTGCTCTTTTTGGCATATTGCCGAAATGGACTTGAGAACTCGTTGACAACTGGTAGCATTGATGGAAGAAGTGCAAGAGAAAGGCAAAGAGATGAATCCATGGATGGCGTGGCTTGATGGATGAGATGAGATAAGAACATTGAACTGATTTGTGATTCTGGTGATCGTGCGAGGTGGCGAAACCAAACAGCCTAAGCTTATTGACATGGGCATGATGATTATGATGGACCAGCTGGTAGTAATAATAAAAAAGTGCTGGAACAAAAATTGTGTTTATGTTAACAAAAAGTTCTTTTTAAATGAGTTCGTGTTAATGTGGTTTTACTGTGCTGTAATCAACAGAATAACATTTGTAAACATTATATTTAATCACAGATAACAATTCATCCATAACCTGGACTTCGTGTGTGTACATTACCAACACAACAGACATACTTGAAGGGCGAATTACTGCTGGACAAGATGCTGATGTTTATCTCCCTTTTGCTATCAGCGCGGGAAGTGTCATCGCTACAAGGCGCCAACATGTCCACAGCACGATTGGGGAGGACCAAGCTTCTCAAGGATCTCAGGGCACACAGTGCTTTTACTCACAAAGTTAGTCCACGAGGAAGTGACGACATAGTCCATATAGACTTTCAGTTCTTTCATTATGAGGTAATTTTGAAGATAAGTTTTTGCAGGACTGACAATAGGATTGTGATAGAACAATCTTTGCTGTCTATGGAATTGTTATATTTGCTCACTCGGAGAATGTGGTTATTTATAAAGACGGTTGGGTATCAAGAGGCCAAAGAAGTACTAACGGTTTCTTAGAAAACGTTAATGGCCGACGTTTGGTGGACGAGAGCCTAAGTCAGGATAGGCGTGCTTCGTGCAGAGTGGCATGCTTCGCTATGGAGTTCACTGTCTGGATCTTTTCTCCAGGACTCGCTGGTATGTTGGATAATTTACAGGCAGACAGACTAGTTTGCTATGCACAACTTAATGGAATATTAATGCATGAAAAGGCAGACATGGTAGGGCCTTGTGAGAGAGCATAAACATTTCGGAGGACCAAATGGATCACCACATTCTGGTGAGAGTGATGCAGTGACGAGGGGATCTGGCGGATACTCGACGCTCAGAGGAAAGGCAAGACGGACGTATAATCAGAATGCTACTCGCACTTTTGGTATTGGAACTCCGCGTTGGCTGCTGAGATGAGAACGGAGCGCCTATGGGAATGACATGAGTTCTCTGATGTCAGTTGTTGAATAAACTTAACTCATTCAAGGGTTTGATTTGAAGCCCCTTTATATATATATATATACACACACACACACACACACACACACACACACACATACTGATAAAAAGTAAAATGTTTTGTCTGCACATTCACCAGCCTTCACACCTCCTGACTTTATTTATGGGGACACGTCAGAGATAAGGTTTATTGAACAACACGTGCAGCACCCAGTTAGAGGCCAGCGGCAAGAAAACCATAAATTTCCCCACTTTGTAATTAAAATGATTTAAGATGTTTGCATTTTCATCGGTTTCAAGTTATCAATGTGGCGAGCTACATTCATTTTGCAGATCTGATTTATTTGTATGCAGATAGTTGGTTCCTCGCCTCTCAGACAGATGCACTCCGACATCGAAGAAACCCCCTAGTTAGTCGACTTTTACGACATGCTTGTTGAGGAGGCAGTGGCTCTATTCTTGTTTTCCACACAATGGGCCTCCGGAACCCGAGCTGGGGAATAAGGAAAACTAGATGCACTGAAGACCTTAGACATGAATGTAAAGACATCTCTCTGACCCGGATGTCAAGTCTGGACTTACCAAGGACGGGAAAACTGACTCGGATGTCAAGTCTGGACTTACCAAGGACGGAAAAACTGACTCGGATGTCAAGTCTGGACTTACCAAGGACGGGAAAACTGACTCGGATGTCAAGTCTGGACTTACCAAGGACGGAAAAACTGACTCGGATGTCAAGTCTGGACTTACCAAGGACGGGAAAACTGACTCGGATGTCCACTCTGGACTTACCAAGGACGGGAAAACTGACTCAGATGCCAAGTCTGGACTTACCAAGGACGGGAAAACTGACCCGGATGACAAGACTGAACTTACCAAGGACGGGAAAACTGACTCGGATGTCAAGACTGGACTTACCAAGGACGGGAAAACTGACTCGGATGTCAAGTCTGGAATTACCAGGGACGGGAAAACTGACTCGGATGTCAAGTCTGGACTAACAGATGGACGGAAAAACATTGCGAGTGTTTATGGTCTTCACATCAGCCACTACAGAACAAAAGTGGTCGGTGTAAGCGCACTAGAAAACATGTTTACAAGAAGATCGGTGCATGTATTTGAAAAGCAGAGGTCGATGAATATGATTTTGAAATGAACAATGAACACTACCCGTACAGATTCATGGGTCACATTTTCGTAGGAAAACCAATAGACTAAGCCCCACACCCCCCCCCCCCACCCCCCCCCCCCCCCCCCCCCCCCCCCCCAACCCGACTCCTTATTTTTGAATTAAGTATGTCGTAAAATTCGATTAATTAACAGTGTTTCTTTCGAAATCAGAGTGCATTTGCCTGAGTGGCGAAAAACCAACTGTTTGCATACGAATAAGTCAGATATTTTAAACTGATATGCCGGCAAAAACTCAAGTTTTGCAAGAAAACCAAAGCCTAGAAGTCGACTGACAACTAGAACTCTTCAGCTGGAGTTTACAGCCGGGGACGGCATAGACGAAGAATAGAAAACAAAAACAATGAATATATTAATGTATTCGTAGATATAGTATTCAATCATGTGCAAAGCTGACATGAGTGTTACGTAACTTTTTTCCTTGACCCCTGCTGTGTCCAAAAGGTGCTGATGGTGGAAGAGATGATCCAGACAGTGACCTCAGTGGGCTTCATCGTCATGTCTTGGCTCGACCCCGATCTGGCTTGGAATCAAACAGACTACGAAGGCATTCACCAAGTCAGCATAGCCTTCGGCGAGTAAGACTGCGTTTTAATTCATACGTCACCCATTGGAATCATTCAAATGTACGCTCATTTCTTTTATTTCTGCAGTGTTGACATTTGTTTTATCCTTCGTCCAATCGTTAATTTAATCCACTGATGTATCACCTGTAATGCTATAACTATGTGTTTTTCCCCCTAGAAACACGGGTAGTAGTGCTCACCACAAAGTGTCTAAAAAGATACCGAAGTATCTAAAAATATGCCAACACTCACCAAAGAGTGTCTAAAAATATACGGGCAATTAGCACAGCGTCTTAACTTGTGTGGTCACTCTAGTGACTAAAAATTTTGCAGGCACTCACCCCATTGTCTACAAATATGCGGACACTCGCCACAGTGTCCATCAAAATGCGGACACTCGCCACAGTGTCCAACATAATGCGGACACTCAAAACAAGATGCTGATACTCACCAAATAATGTTTAAAAACGTGTCGACACATATCACAGTGTCCAAGAATATGAGTACACTCACCTCAGTGTCCAAGAATATGAGTACACTCATCACAGTATCCAAGAATATGAGTACACTCATCACAGTGTCCAAGAATATGAGTACACTCACCACAGTGTCCAAGAATATGAGTACACTCATCACAGTGTCCAAGAATATGCGTACACTCATCACAGTGTCCAAGAATATGAGTACACTCACCACAGTGTCCAAGAATATGAGTACACTCACCACAGTGTCCAAGAATATGAGTACACTCACCACAGTGTCCAAGAATATGAGTACACTCACCACAGTGTCCAAGAATATGCGTGCACTCACCACAGTGTCCAAGAATATGCGTACACTCATCACAGTGTCCAAGAATATGCGTACACTCACCACAGTGTCCAAGAATATGAGTACACTCCTCACAGTGTCCAAGAATATGAGTACACTCACCACAGTGTCCAAGAATATGAGTACACTCACCACAGTGTCCAAGAATATGAGTACACTCACCACAGTGTCCAATAATATGCGTATACTCACCATAGTGTCCAAGAATATGCGTATACTCACCATAGTGTCCAAGAATATGCGTGCACTCACCACAGTGTCCAGGAATATGAGTACACTCACTACAGTGTCCAAAAATATCAGTACACTCACCACAGTGTCCAGGAATATGAGTACACTCACCACAGTGTCCAAGAATATCAGTACACTCACCACAGTGTCCAGGAATATGAGCACACTCACCACAGTGTCCAAGAATATGATTACACTCACCACAGTGTCCAACAATATGAGTACACTCACCACAGTGTCCAAGAATATCAGTACACTCACTACAGTGTCCAAGAATATGAGTACACTCACCACAGTGTCCAAGAATATCAGTACACTCACTACAGTGTCCAAGAATATGAGTACACTCACCACAGTGTCCAACATTATGCGTACACTCACTACAGTGTCCAAGAATATGAGTACACTCATCACAGTGTCCAAGAATATGAGTACACTCATCACAGTGTCCAAGAATATGAGTACACTCACCACAGTGTCCAAGAATATGAGTACACTCATCACAGTGTCCAAGAATATGCGTACACTCATCACAGTGTCCAAGAATATGAGTACACTCACCACAGTGTCCAAGAATATGAGTACACTCACCACAGTGTCCAAGAATATGAGTACACTCACCACAGTGTCCAAGAATATGAGTACACTCATCACAGTGTCCAAGAATATGCGTGCACTCACCACAGTGTCCAAGAATATGCGTACACTCATCACAGTGTCCAAGAATATGCGTACACTCACCACAGTGTCCAAGAATATGAGTACACTCATCACAGTGTCCAAGAATATGAGTACACTCACCACAGTGTCCAAGAATATGAGTACACTCACCACAGTGTCCAAGAATATGAGTACACTCACCACAGTGTCCAAGAATATGAGTACACTCACCACAGTGTCCAATAATATGCGTATACTCACCATAGTGTCCAAGAATATGCGTATACTCACCATAGTGTCCAAGAATATGCGTGCACTCACCACAGTGTCCAGGAATATGAGTACACTCACTACAGTTGTCCAAAAAATATCAGTACACTCACCACAGTGTCCAGGAATATGAGTACACTCACCACAGTGTCCAAGAATATCAGTACACTCACCACAGTGTCCAGGAATATGAGCACACTCACCACAGTGTCCAAGAATATGATTACACTCACCACAGTGTCCAACAATATGAGTACACTCACCACAGTGTCCAAGAATATCAGTACACTCACTACAGTGTCCAAGAATATGAGTACACTCACCACAGTGTCCAAGAATATCAGTACACTCACTACAGTGTCCAAGAATATGAGTACACTCACCAC